CATGCCTGGCTGGCGCTGGTCCCGAGCCGATGGCTGGCAGGAGCACTGCCGCCACCAGAGGAAATATTGCTCAGCTAACAAGGAAGCCTCCTTGCTTTCCTAACAATGCTCATAATCTGTTTGGGTGATATTTTTTTCCCTTGTCTGTGGTTCTGCTGGACCAGCTGCCAGGGGGGCTGCAGGCGTACTGTGTAGTTTCTGCTGCCTTCCAGCCCTTGCCGAATTGGATCCTCCATTAAATTAGATCTGCCTTGGTTGCCACAGAGCAGCAGTCTGATGAGGGTCAGCTTCAGTGGCAGCAAGCAGAGGGATAATTCAGTGGCTGAGCAGACACAGTGGGGCAGAAGGGGCTGAGACTGGAGGGTGCAAGCCTGGGCTTGGGCTCCAACACCCCGTGCACCCTCCCACAGCCTTACAGGGGATGTGGGGTCACCTACTGAGATGTCCGTAAGGGATGAGATCTGCCTTGGTGGCACCAGTGCACCCCGCTGGGAGCCAGGCAGCAAAGCCCGGGCTCAAGCAGGGCGTGCTGTGCTGCTGCTGTAGGGTTTGGACACGCCATGGGTTCAGACCTGCAATGCAGTTGGCAGCGATACGTGTCCAGGGCTGTTCCCGCTGGACATCCCCTCTGTTCAGGATCCAGCAGTGGTTCTCATGTGGCTCTTGTCCTGGTTTCGGCTGGGATAGAGTTAATTTTCTTCCTAGTAGCAGACATAGTGCTGTGTTTTGGATTTAGTAGAAGAATGTTGATAACACGCTGATGTTTTTATTTTTAGTTGTTGCTCAGTACTGCTTATGCCAGTCCAGGACTTTTTCAGCTTCCCATGCTCTGCCAGGCACACAAGAAACTGGGAGGGGACACAGCCAGAATAGTTGATCCAAACTGCCCAAAGGGCTATTCCATACCATATGACGTCATGCTCAGTATAGAAACTGGGGGGGGTTGGCCGGGGAGCAGCGATTGCTGCTCGGGAACTGGCTGGGTATCGGTCAGCAGGTGGTGAGCAATTGCATTGTGCATCACTTGCTTTGTATATTATTATTATTATCATTATCATCATTATTACATTGTTATTATTATCATTACTGTTTTACTTTATTTCAATTATTAAACTGTTCTTATCTCAACCCAGGAGTGTTTCTCACTCTTACTCCTCCAATTCTCTCCCCCATCCCATCGGGGTAGGGGGAGTGAGCGAGCGGCTGCATGGTGCTTAGTTGCTGGCTGGGGCTAAACCAGGACACTCTGCACACTGGTCGCTGCCTCTGCTCCTGTGCGAGCCATAGGGCAGCGAGAGACGACTGCAAGGAGCAGTTGGTTTGTAGCCATGATGTGCCTGGTTGTTCTCCTGCCTTCTTGGGGTCCCTCCCTGCTGTGTTTGTCTGTGGTTGGCTGAAACCTGCTTTTATACGGGATGTTCCTACTACCACTCTGCCTACATCCTCCAATGCCTGATATCATGGCTGAGCTCATCGAGCAGCCCCTCTGCTCTCTCCTCTGCCCAGTTACCTGTATTCATCCTGCTTATGGGAATATCAACTCTTTCAGCCTCTTATCCTCATCAGCTGAAATTGGCCGTGGGATTTAAAAGCAAGGGGACAGAGTGATGGTGGAAGTCAGAAAGGATCATGCTAATCGCCCAGTGCTGGAGCAGGGGATCAGAGCGGGGAGGGCTGGGGGGATTTCCTCCTGTTTCTCTCCTCATCCTCATGTCTCCTTCTTGCCCCACACAGTTGCCTTCATCATTGACCTGGACAGTGACACAGCCGACAAGTTCATCCAGCTGTTTGGCACCAAAGGGGCCAAGCGGGTGCTGTGCCCCATCCCCTACCCGGAGAGCCCGACCCGGTTCATCAACTGCGAGCAGGTTCTGGGTATGAACCTCATGAACCGAGGCAACTACTACTGGGAGGTGGAGCTCATCGATGGCTGGGTCAGCATCGGCGTCATCGCTGAGGACTTTGACCCCCGGGAGTCCTACAACCGCGGCCGCCTGGGGCGGAACGAGAAGTCCTGCTGCCTGCAGTGGAACGGACAGAACTATGTGGCCTGGTTTGGTGGCTTCGAGTCCGTCATCCAGCAGCCGTTTTTCCACACAATTGGGGTTTTCCTGGAGTATTCGGAGAAGGCCCTGACCTTCTACGGAGTCAAGGACTCCAAGATGACCTGCCTGCAGCAACTCAAGGTCTCCCATTTTGCCAAGGGTCAGTTTGACGCGTTCCAGAACAAGATCAATCACCAATTCGCCTCTCTTTTCTTGTGCAAGCTGAAACCAGCCTTCTTCCTGGAGAGCGTTGATGCCCACCTGCAGATCGGGCCACTGAAGAAAGATTGCGTTTCGGTGCTAAAGCGTAGGTAACTGCATGGAGAGCAGGAGCACGGGAGGACCCAGAAAAGTCTCTCCTGCAGTGTATTGCCACCATCATGGCTTGTCTTTGGTAGCATTTATGTCTCTCCCTCCTCGCTCTGTACTGTTTGTGACCCAGGGGTGGATGAAGCTGTCTGCTGGGCAGAGCCGCGGGCTGGGAGGCAGGAGGGAGCTGGATCTGAGTGCCGGCTCTGCCGCTGGGCTGCTGAGCAGACTTGGGCGAGTCTCTGTCCTGCTCCCTGCCCCTCGGTTTCCCTTTCTGGACATCAGGGACTGCGATACAGCCTTTCTTGGTAAAGTGCATTGCTCAGGAGAAGTGCTGTGTAGATTTGAAGCTGTATCTTAGCCAGCTGCTGGGCTGCCCAGTCCCTCTCCTTAGTATCTGCTCACACTGCCCTGGCAACTTGAATAGATGCTCTGCTTCGTGCCTTATCTCAGTCTCTGTGTCACTGCTGCTTTTTTAAGCCCTGGCTCATTGACACCTTTCGCATGCTCCTTATGAAGTGCCTTTGAATTAGCAAGCCCAGTATGGACTGGGCGAACCCCCAAAGCAGATGTGGTCGCTTCCCCAGTGCCCACATCACCGTCGTGCCTTGGTGTGGGTGAGCAGGGTGCTCCAGGGCGGGTGGGATGCAGAAGAGACCAGCTGGGTGCAGGGGCGATGCTGCAGAGATCTTGCAGGGTACCTCTTCTTGCGGGGTTAACCACCCATTAGTGCTGCAAACGCGAAACGGAATGAGGATCTTTCCCTTCCCTCACGCTGTGGCCGGTGGGTATTTTGAACGCTGGTCTGTGGCCAGGCTCATTTGGGAAAAGCCATGGTCCTGCGTGTGTTGGAGCCCCATGGCTGCGGGGCTGTTTCCCACCGCAGGTAAAAATCCCAGCTGGGAAAGGGGAGAAACCTCCTGCCGAGAAGCAGCAGCACTGTTCTTTCCTTGAGATGGTGAAGTGCGCAGCACGAAACAGTTTTGAGGATGTGCTTTTGGTAAACGTGTTCTTCAGGAACTGCTTACAGAAGCTTTACAGCCAAATTTCTCCCCTGCATTTTTGATGACTCTACTATTTCAGGGGATTTTAATACTGTTAAACTCCCAGCTCTTAAAGTACCCTGGGCACATTTGAGCTGTAAATGTACCCCTTAGCTTAGAGAGTTTTTTAAGTGACAAAGAGGTGCTGTGAATATGGCCCAGGGCCAAATGGTGCGTTTTAGGCGCAGCTGTGAGCACGCTGATAGAAGGTACAGCATCAGTGAGTTATTAGGTGACCGTTTAGACTCTGGCAATAAGTAACAATTAACAAAAAACTACTCTCAAGCAAGTGTCCCCTCTGGGAAAGGTGGAAACTTGAGGCTGAGAGCCAAAAATGCCAGTTCACGTGTCCTGTGGGAGCTTTTCCAGAAGAAAAATACAGAAATACTGCCTGTAAGGGTGGCACAGTGCAGCCCCTGTCTCAGCACAGTGTGCCTTTCCACAAGTTTATTTTTTCTGGGATTAGTTTGCTACCTACCTCCCAAAGCCTGCTTTACAGAATCATAATGCTGTGTAACATATACCTAGAAAGAAAATATATTGGGTTAGGTTCTTCGCTGGCGTGAGTGAGTCAGTGATGACGCATCAGTGGTCAACAGGGATGGAAAATGGCCCGTTTAGCTAAATATACGAAATATATATACTCCCCAAAGGATAAGCTGGAAATCATAGTGGTATATTCAAGGGAAGCCAAGGGAAAAAAGTGAATGTGAATAAAAAGGGCAACCACAAAGCCGAGAGGTTTAAAGTTAAAGCCACATTTACATAAACACTGAGGCTTAAAGAGCTCCTTTACTGTTACTTGTTTGCCAGCGCTGCCAGTTCCTGCTGGCGCGGGAAGAGATGCCGGTCCCCAGCAGAGAGCCGCTGCTTTGGGGTCTCGTTGGAGGGGCTGAAGTGTCCGAATGCAGCAGCCCCCTCCCCAGGGCTGGGCAGTGAATGGGTCTGGGGCCACTGCTGGGATGTGTCTGCAAATCCCTCCTCTTCCTCCTCCTCCACATGCGGTGACTCCTAAAATGCTGCAGGCGGTGGGAAAAGAGGAGGTAGGGCTTCCAGAGTGAAATCTTCAGATGAAATCTTGGCCTTTTCCAGCCAGCGGGAATGCTGCCCGGACTTCTGTCCAGATGGGAATTCACTCTCCGTCTTCTGAGCGCCTACCTCAAAACCGCGTTGTTTGGCTTGCGCCAGTCGCTCTCCTGCAAGACTCAGCCTTTGCACGAGATGTCAGCAGTGATATAGTGCAGGCATCGCTGCTGTTTTGCTAACGCTGGAGAGGACTTGGTATCAGAAATGCCTTACCAGAGAAGAAAGGTAGAGACACGCAACAGCCCGTGCATGGTCACGTCCCGAGAGGAAGAGGAAGGTAACCTTGATCTCTGCTGCATGCCTGCAGGAAGAGATCTCACATGCGGGCTCCCATTTTGGCTCTGTCTGGGCCCTAAATTTCATTTATTCAGGCAAAACTCCCACCCTTTGCAGCGGGGAGTTTTGCCAGAGTAAATACAGTGGATCTGGGCCTTTGCCTCATTTCATTTCACTGTAGGCGGATTGATTGCTCCGTGGGGAAACCCATGCTCGAGTCATGCATCCCTCCCTTCTCCTTGTTGCCCAATGCACAGACGCAAGTCTCTGAACTCCT